GGAGATAAAGGATCACCCTGACGAACTCCTCTTGAAGGAAGGAAGTCACCTGCAATGGCTCCATTCCAAAGTACTGAGACCTTATCAGAGTTGATACAATTCTTGATAATATTTGTGAACCAGTGTGGGATTTGAATTTCATCCAAAACTTTACGAACAAACTCCCAATTTAACATATCATAAGCCTTTTCCAAGTCGATTTTAATTGCCATGAAACATTTTCTTCCTCTCATTCTACGCATTGATTGGATCAGCTCTTGGGTGATGATGATGTTGTCCTGGATATGTCGTTTAGGAACAAAACTAGCTTGAAAGGGAGACACCATCTCTTCCATTAGGGGCTTCATTCTGTTAACCAGAATTTTACTGAGGATTTTATAAATGACATTGCACAAAGAGATTGGTCTGAGCTGCTTAGCACTTTCAGGTCTCTTTACTTTTGGAATGAGGACCAGAAGAGTCGAGTTCACAAGGTGAATCAGATTGGGATTCTGAAACATCATGTTAACATCCTTAATAACATTAGTCTTAATAAGACTCCAATTCTTATGAAAAAAGGCAGCTGGAAAACCATCTTCCCCTGGAGCTTTTGACCCGTTGATACTAAAAACAGCTTTTGAAATTTCGTCGTCCGAAAGATTACGAGTCAGATTAGATAGCAGATCATCGTGCAGAAGGGGCCAAGTAGTCTTTGTTTTCACCCAATCACGATTAAGGACTTCCTCACTAAACAAGTTACAATAGAAATCTGTTACCAATTGATGAAGTTGTCTAGCTTCCTTCACCCAAATCCCATCAGAATTTTTTAACTCAAGGATCCTATTCGAACTTCTTCGAGTAGCTATTTTAATGTGATAGAATTTGGTGTTTCTATCCCCATCATTTATCCATTTCACCCTGGCTTTTTGAAACCATAAGATCTCCTCTTGTATGAGAACCGCATCAAGGTCCTTCCTAATCTCCTTTTCTCTAGATTGGAGAGATAAGTTGGTATGATAATCAACATGATTCTGAATTTCTGCAATACTATGCAATAGGTTAGTCTTCCTGTTGAAAATGTTGCCAAAGACTACCTTGTTCCATCTTTTTAAATTTGGAGTCAGATCATGCAGATTCGTTCTAGTGTCTTTCACAATATTCCAGCTCCTAGACAGAAACTGAGTAAAGTTATAATGCTCCATCCAAGCAATCTCAAAGCAAAAGGGACGATTTTTCCAACCTGTGTCCAAGTTAGTCAAGTAGACCAAAATGGGACTATGATCAGAATAAATCCGTGGAAGTACCTTAACGCCAGCATCAGTAAAGGTAGTCTTCCAACTTGCATTAGCACAGGCTCGGTCCAGCCTCTTAAAAACACGATCAAGATGAAGAAATTTCGGACCCTTCCATGTAAACCAAGGACCCGATCTTCCAAGATCCAGCAGCTTGCAATTGTGAAGAACATTTGCAAAATTGGAACATCTGTTTAAGTTAACTCTACAGCCACCTTCCTTCTCATCACGATTTGCTATTTCATTAAAATCCTCAGCCACCAACCACGGCCCATTACAATGGAGACTAATGTTTAACAGATCATCCCATAGCTCCTTTCTATTTTCTTCCCTAGGACTCGCATAAACTGCCGTGCAAGAAAAGGAAGGAACATGAAAATTCTGAACTTTAAAATGAACAAACTGTTTTGTGTGATTAACAATTTCAACGAGACCAGTCTCATCATTCCAGAGGATCCAAATACCCCCTGAGTAACCTTCTGCCTCTTGAACAAAAGCATGCTTAAACCCAGATTTTCGGATAATGTCAGAAGCTTTTTGACCACTACACCGAGGTTCTAGAATCACTACAATACTAGGCTTATATTTCCTAGTAAACAGAAAAAGCGATTTTTGAAACTGGGGTTTCACTGCTCCCCTACAGTTCCAGAAGAATAAATTCATTAAAAACTATGTTGAACGCAAGACTCCAAGGTTCTTGCATCCTTCATTCTTGAAATATCTTCCTGGTGAACTCTGTCCACCTCCATGCACGTAGAGATAGTTGAGGTTTCAGGATTTTGGATGTCGCTGCTGTTGTCAACTGATATATCAGGACCAGTTTTATGAAATGTGTCATATAACTGCTCTTGATTTTGGTTCAAAGTGTTATCTGCTTTCATCCCATTTTCCTGATCATGTTGATTTGCTTGCATAGGACTAACCGCCATGGGAGTAGCAATTGATGGAGATGGTGGAACGGGAGCATGATTTTCACGATTTTCACTCTGGACTGGACACCTCTTACCCGTGCTTGAAGAAGGAGCCGCATGCATAGTAGGAACCGTTGAATTAGTCCTAGGGGTATCTTTGGACTTTTTGGATTTAGTCCATATTTTCTGAGGAATTTCAAACTGAGGGGCCCCCATATGAGGTGTAACAGAATTAATTATTTGATTATGATCCTCCTCATTAATAGGTCCAGCTGTTAAGATTGCAAACCGTGATTGCGTAATTTCCTCCTTATCACCATGATTATCTCCATGATTATCGCTGGTCATAACTCTCTTATCACCATGATTATCTCCATGATTATCGCTGGTCATAACTCCCTTATCATTATTCCTTTGTAACGTTTTTGAACCAGCGCCTGGCTGGACTGCACCGGTCGTCTGAGGAGGTTGCCGGCTTCTGCGTTGACGGTTAACAACCATCCAAGGTCCCAATCCTTTGCTTCGATGGAATTCTGAGTTGCCAGGTTCCTCTTGATGAATTTGATCGTCATTATGAATATCGGATGAACTGCGTTGCTTTGGAGCAGCTGAACAATTCTCGGTGCTATGTCCATATTTCCCACAACCAAAACAAATGAGCCATAATCCTTCATACTCAATTTGTTTGGTAAATCCTTCCAGCACATAATCACCCTTTAATGGCTGAGATAGGTCCAGTTCCACACATATTCTTGCAAACCGTCCTCTTACATGAGCATTTGTATTGCTGTCTACCTTGATCATCTTGCCTAACCAGTTTCCAATCCTTCTAAAAAAAGCTTCATCATAGAATTCAATGGGAATATCCGGTAAACGAATCCAAGCAGCAATCTTAGCAATTCCAGCACTATTAGGTCTGAAAGTTGGTTCCCACTTCCTCAACGATAAATAATGACCCAAAACAATCCATGGACCACCGTTCAACGCAAAATTGAGATCATCCTTCTCACTAAACTGGACTACGAAAAAGTCATTACCAATATCAGTGACATTGATTTTGCCTTTTCTAGCCCATAAGACATTTATTTTTTTCTTCATAAACTCCACCCCAATTTTCTTCCCAAGGAGTTTAACAATCAGAGCTTTCTCCCAAGGTTTCCTCATTCTCTTCCTTGCTCTTTTGGTGCAACTAAAATAAGTACGTCCATCATCTTCCTCCCACATCTTAATTCCTCCATGGTTGACATCCTCTTCCTCAGAGGGTTCCTCCCCATCTAAGTCTTCCTCAGCAGACGCCTCTCCTTCCCATTCATCATCTTCTCCATTATGACGCATCAGAATTTCCCTCCAGGTTGAACGTTGGCCATTCTCATCTTCCATCCAACCTTCATGTCTAGGTATCATAGATACATCATTTGAAAATTGATCTCCCTCACCTTTATTCCTCTTATTACTTCTTTGAAGAATGTCAAGTTCTTCACTTGATTTGCCAGGATTCTTCCCATGATCACCTTTCTCTCTCTCACTCATCGCTCCTACTTAATTAGTAATGCATTTATTTATTTATTTTATATTTTTATTTGGATTTTCTTTTGATTAAAACGTAAATGACATGATAATCATAAAAATATCATTAATAGTTTATATAATATATTATAATATCCATAAAAGGACTTTTCATGAATATTTTTTGTTTTAAGATTTTTTATTTTTGCAAATTCTTATAGTTTTGTTAGTACATTTATTGGTTTACATATTTTTTTTTCTTTTTTTTTATACATTAATATATTATATTGTATATAGATAGATTTTGTTAAATTAAAATTTTCATCTTGTGATAATCGTAATAGAAAAAACCTCTGTTATCTATAAGCTCCTATTAATTAACACATACACAAAAAGCTGATCAAATGAGTTATGTATAATTTTTAAAAAGGAGCTGATCAAATTTTATCACATACAAACAAAAGGTTTTTGCAACATAATCCGCCATAATTCGTGCCAACTTGCAAGAGCTCACCCTCATATGTCTCTTGAAATATTGCAATATTGGAGATTTCTCGTTAAGTCAATAATTATTTAAAAGCTAACTTTGGTGCCTTTAACTTCCACGACTCTGGTTACAATTTTTTAAAGGAGATTCTTAAGAAAAAAAAGAGAGAAAAAAAAACATGCATATATTATCACATATTAAAAAAGAATTTATATTTCTTATGTTATAGGAAACAATTTTATCTCTTATACATATAAAATCGTGTGAGACCCATATTTATTTTTCTCTTTTCTCTTCACATAGTCCTATATGAGCCTATACTTTTTATGTGTATACAAGATAATTTTATTTCTTACAACATTAAAAACATATCTCTTAAAAAAGAAATAGAAACTTGATATTTTCTTTCCCTTGACAAAATGGGTCCTTTTTAAAAAAGGTTTGCACAAGAACCAACCATCCAAAGTGCCCTTAGATCACTTTTAGAAGAAGACGATGTTGCTTGTCTCATTATCTTCAAACCATAATAATATATACGTAGCATTTTTATTTTTTATTTTTGTTTAAACAAAAACTGTTAATAAAAATAATGATAAATAGCAGTCTGCTGTTGCCCTGGTACATTAATTGAGTTTAATACAAAATTGCGAACATTGCTTTCAGTCTGCTGTGTTGCCTGTTACATTAATTGAGTTTAATACAAATTGCGAAAAACCAAGTATGAGTATCTATCTATATCTGCTTTGGGATTTCATTTCTTCATCATACATAATTTCATATATGCTCTTTTTGCTTTCCTTTCACAATTAACAAACAGAAGTTGGAATACATAAAGATTGAAAATAAAAAAGTGGCCTTAGGCTGAGATGATCTTTATCAGAATTCAGAAATTCCAAATTCAAATACATACAAGGGATTTAATGATTGGGCTCACTCGCCACTGAGTTGGACTCTCTTCAGCCGAGTCCACCCAACCGAATCATTGCCCACTAAAAACCATCCATTCAAGTCAAACAAAATGTTTTAACTACACAACAACAACAACAACAATAACAATATCTAATCAATTCAATTACAAACCGGTTCGAACCACTTACCCAAGAAAACCGTCAGCCGTAGAACCCGGTCTGGCTCCACACGGCGTCACGAACCCGGCTCAAGTCTCGGCCCTTCAACGTTCGGCCCACACCCTCGAACACCGAATTCGCCTCCATCCTCCGGCTACGCGCTAAGTACTCGTGCGGCGGTACCATCTCCGATTCGTTCTCGTCGAAACCGTCGTCGGCGTCGTGCAGCGACTCGACCGAGTCGACTCGGAGTATCTTGCTCCAGTCCGGCACATTCACCGGAGCCGAAGACGCCACGTGGCGCCCGCGTGGCGATGATGCCACGCGCTCATGCGCGCGGAACTGGTGCACGATCCTCGACGACGACGACGACGCCGTCACGGCATTACTCGCCGGGTCTTCGAACGCCAGGGACAGGCCACCTACGTGGCGGTGGTCTTCCCTGTCGAGGGGAATCCGGCGCCGGCTCCGAACGGAGGAGCCGCCGTTGCTATCAGCGGCAGCGTGTGGCTCCCACTCGCCGTTGGAGAAATCGGAGTCGCGGTCGCGGGTTTCATCGGCGGTGGACCAGACATCCTCTTCCCGGAGATCCGACGGGTCGGCGACGGCGGAGACTTGGCTGTGAGAGTAGGCGTAAGTTCCCAAGAAGCGCTCGCTCCGGCTGGTCGTTAATTTGCGACCTTTGGCCATATGCGGCGGCGGCGGAGGGAGGAAGCGGAGATTTGATTGCGAAGTGAAGAGGGAAAAGAGTTACAAATACTAAGAATTCATTGATGTTGGCGTTGGTGTTGTGCATGAGCTGGGGGCACAGAGTAGTGCCACGGTCTCTGTATATATAACGTTTGCAATTTCATTTCAATTTGAGTTTGGGGTTCATTTTCTCTGAATTCAATCTAATATGTAATAATAATAATAATAATATAAATAATAAGCTGGACAACGAAAATAACCAACGACGATTCAGTAGATTTTTTTTTAAAAATTATATATAAAATAATAGTTATTCTTTTTTTTTTTAGAAATTGTTTCAAAGATATCCCGGCCGAAACTCAAAGACTAACCCTCTCAAGACGAACATATCATGTAATCGATGGTCCAACCTCTCTCACCAAAGAATTTTCTATAAATAATAGTTATTCTACATATGCATTACATTGTTTGTTCAAATTAAGTGTATGAGTTTTCTTTACCAATTATATATATGGAAAAAGTGTGTATAATTTTAAAGGATGTAAAATTGTGTCATTTTAAGAGAGAGAAAAAGATAGATAAATGAAGAGAGAGAGTTGACAAAAAAAATAAAGTTGTGAGTCTCACCTCTTTGTGAGAGTGAAATGATGTAAGTTGTGTAATTTAAAAGTATAGACACTTTTCCCTATATATATATATATATATATATATATATATATATATATATATATCTTTGTCTTTTTAAATGACACAACTTATATCTTTTCACTCTCACAAAGAGGTGGGACCCACAACTTTATATTTTTTTGTACACTCTCTCTCCTCCTTTATGTATCTCTTTCTCTCACTTAAAATGACACAACTTTACATCCTTTAAAATAATATACATTTTTCCCATATATATATATATATATATATATATATATATATATATATGAGTTTTTTATTTAATAAATAAATACTTAGTGTATGTTTAAATTAATTTATATTTTTAAAGAAGTTTTTAATATTCAAAATATTGTATCACTAATGTTTGGTTAAAAGTATTAAACATACTTCTAATAGGATATAATAAAAAATATTTAAATTTCGAATTTAATAATTATATTATATTATGTTATTTATTACTATAATTAGAGAAACTTTTCTGATGCTTAATTTAAATAAAAAAATGTCTTTATATTCATGTTTACATGCCAGTTAACTCTTTAAAGACATATAAATATTTTATATTTATAATTGTTATATTTATATTATTATCTTTTACAAAATATTATTCTAACTTCATTTTAATTAATTTTTATAAATCTTTTTTTGATAAACCACAGGTATCCTCTACGCAACGACAATTTTGTTCGGGCCACATCCAAAATTAAGGCTTTACCCATACATGCTTAACTTCCATACACCAACTGAAGTACCATCATTTGGTATTTTCATAATTTTTTTTAAAAGACATCATATACATGTTATCACATATTTATAAAAACAATTGATGCTAATATATTATAAGGGGCTTATTAATCTTCTGTTAAAGAAGATATTTTGTTTTATGTAATAGAGACAAAATATGTCGGGCCCACAATTTAATAAAAATAAACAATAAAATGTTGAAGGGACTCATATATTTATTTGTGTAGGAGAGGAAATATTTTTTCAATCAACAGAAGAAAATATTTTCTCATAAAATAAAGTATTTAATATTTCTATTTTTTTTGTAGAAAATATTTATCTGTCACATTCAAAAAAATGTGAGTGGGTTTCACAAATTTATTTTCTTTCTTCTCTTTAGAATAGAACCTACTCACTTTTATATGAGCGTGGTAAATAAATATTTTCTACAGTAAATGTAAAAATATTTTTCTTTAAAATAAATATATCATCAATAAAATTACAGTGATCAAATAAAACTATAATAATTTTTTTAATTTTTTTTTCAAATCCCCGGGAGTGGGGAACGAAATTACAGTGTATTGCATGGCTTGACATCCTCTACTTTTCTCAATTGCTTTCTTCACAGCACACTGTCAACGAAGTTATCTCACAATAACTTATTTAAATAATATTATCTTATCAGTAAAACTTGCACGATATGAATTTATGATTAAAATAAAAATATCATGAGATAGGATTTTAAATACATTTCGATCATGTATGTTTTATGATAATTCGTTAATTTCATATATCACTTGTTAGTTCATCAAGGGAGCTCAAATCAGATCGTATGGGACCTTTATCAATAAATTAAGAAGAAAACCCAAATCAAAATAAATGAATTTGATATCATATTTCAATTTGAAATTTTAAGACAATAAATCCATTCGTCTTTCCATTTATACGGTTGCCATTTAATCTTTTTTTAATTAATGTGGATCTTCATCACTTATTACTGCATTTGAATTTTCCAACAAAGCTAATTTAATTAGTTCGGAAATAGTTTAATCTGAAAGTTGTGCATTGTTAAGGAAACTTTAGTTCCAATCACGATTAGGGTAAGGATCTCAATTCAAGCCAATCCAATCAATTGGAAATGGTCGGTTGTAATCTAGGCCAAAAGCAAGGTTGCCCACAACAGGTTAAGTATAGTTTGAACAAATAATTTACAGGTTTAATATCTCTTAAGTTGTATGAGATATAATTGTTTCTTGCATATACATAAAAATATATGGAGTCTATTTTTTTTTCTTTACATAGCCCCACATAGGCCCCATGTTTTTTTATATGTGCGTAAAGTATAATTTTATTTCATATAATATGAGAAATATCAACCCTATAATTTATTGGCCTAACGTGACTTTATGAATGTGCATGACAATCTTTCTGGAATTAATATTTTTTAATTTCTGTTCTCAGGAAGAGAAATGGATAAAAAACTCGTTTGGTAAATTTGATTTATTTTTTTGTTCCCGGGATGAACCGGTTTAATTTTTCTGCAGGGGAACAAAAGAAATAATCAGAGAATTTTTGTTTTTTTGTTCCCAGGCACAAAATGAAAAACACTTATCTCTCCACCTCTACCATCATCACCACCACTACCATCATCCCAACACGACTACCCCCACCATCGTCACCGCCACCGTCGTACCCCTAGTGTCGTTGTCACCACCGCCCACCACCACGATGCCACCACCACCATCACCACCACGCCATTGTCACCACCACCACAACTATCACCGCCGCCACCACCACTATCACCGTCACCATCACCACCACCACCACCACCACCACTGTAAGAACCCGCACCGTTAATTAAGGAAATAATTCCATAATTGACCCTAATAATTATTATGAGGCTTAAATAAGTATGATAAGTGATTAAGAATGCTGAAAGTCGCTTTTCGGAAGAAAAGTGCAGATACCGGTTCTGCTAGTCGGTATAAATGCGTACCGAAAAAGTATTCCGAAAAATTATAATAAGTACACGATAATTCCTAGAATAATATATATGACTTGTAAAACAAGTTTCAAGTTAAAATAATGAGAACTGGGGCCAGAAACTGATACTGGCTATGAAAAGCGCGTACCGGAAAGGTGCTCCGAAAAATATAATAAAAATATGATAATTCTTGTAAAATTGAGTAGGTTAAGAATTCTGAGTTTGGGATTAAAATGCTAAGCGTAGAAATTAAAGTTAATATTGTGTGTTTTATGGTTAAGTGGCTATATATACACTTATGTTGAACAAAAAACCCTAGACTCTCTCTTTTTCTACGTGAGTTGGGTGGCTGGTCAGCTTCTTTTTACTGTTCCATTGCCTACTTGCTTCATTTGGTGAGCTTGAAGCCTTTTCTTCCATTTCTCTTCATCTAAACACTTGGTGTGAGTGAGAATCATCCTTGTGAGTAGGGGATTGACTTCTTTTCTGAGTTTGGCTTCTGTCTTGTGAGGTTGAGAGTGCTGTTTTCTGGTTTTGGTGAGGAGGGAACCTTTATTTGGTGTTTTGAAGCTACAAGGAGCTTCCTTGTTGAGTAAAAGAGCTACCTTGTGCATCATTTTCGTTTACCTTGGCAGTCTGAACTTGAGAGGTAGTGTGGTGAGCTCCAAGAGCCTTTCTTGCTCTGTTTTGATCTTTGGTAAGTGTCACCAACCTTTGATCATGAGTTTTTGGTTAAAAATGGAACCTTGATGCATGTAATGAGCTTAAGATGATAACCTAACGTTGGGTAATGCTTAACACACTTAGAAATACATGTTTAAGCTTCTGTAATCGGTAAAAGTTGGACCTTTTGTGTGGATTTTCGCAAAATGCAGAATCTGGGTTCTGTCGCGAAATATCCGGATATTTTGTTGTGAATATCCGGATATTGATATCCGGATATGGGGATCTGAATATCCGGATATGGATATCCGGATATTGGAAGTATGATATCCGGATATGCCCCCGACGAATATCCGGATATTCTAGGATTTCGCAGAACAGTAGTTGCACTGTCAATACAGTAGGCTATTGGGGGTTTGTGGACCCTAGATTGATGAAGTTGAACTTCTGTTTTAATGTAACTAAAGTGGTCAAGGGCTTATGGCTTTGTGTGAAGCCTTAAGACATAAATCGTAAGAGAAAAATGTAGTCTTTATGTTTATGCTTATAAGCTATGAATGTTGATATGCTTGCTGGTCCTAATCCGATTGTGATCTGCTCTGTGTTGGACTTGATCTGTGTTGACTCTTGGCATTGGATAGTGAGCTTGCAAGGTAAGCTTTCGTGTCCTCGGTTTAGCCATGTTGTGGTTCCACTATGTCCCATGGGGGTATGGTTATATGCATGCTGTGTTACATGCTTTTGCTGTTTTGGAAATGCTGTTGAGCTGTTATATGCTAGTGCCTTTATGATATGCATGTGGTGTTCCACCTATACGGTAAGCCTGAGTATGTAGTACATACAATATGGTGAGGCTGTGGGTGAGGTGCAAGCGGTGTTCCTTGTACTATCTGTAGGTAATAGACGTATTCCTGCATTTCTCTGGCCAGTAGAATAGTATTGACACACATGGCATGAATATCTGTTGCACTGCATAGTTTTGGAACTTATATTGGAAATTACTGCTTTTGAACTTATATTGCACATGTAAGTGAGCTTGGGGTGGAAGATCCTTGAGGACCCCTTACCTTACTGAGATTTCTGGTTTAGAGATCTCACCCCACATTTGGG